AAGTGTGTGTGTGTGTGTGTGTGTGTGTGTGTGTGTGTGTAAATGTGTGCGGTTGTAGCGTATGTGTGTCTCAGTGTGTTTGGATGTGTGTCTGTAGTAATAAAGTACAGAGTGTGTTCTGTTTTGTTTTAGTTATACAACAGTTTTTGTGGTTTGTAATTTTTTTCCTTCAAAATATGATTACATGTATTTTGTTTTTGCGATAGTTAACTCGGCAGGGTGCCTGACTGCCTGGCAGGCCTTTCTGCTAAGCCATTTTGACCTTCATGTGGAAATTTGCCAGTTTTAAGACATTTTAGTTAAACGAAATTTAGAAAAAGAGTGCAAGTTTAAAACTCACTGAAACATCCGCCGTGTTTTCGTCAGAATCGTTCGTTTTGCCACTCCCAAAGCATTTCTTGTTTGGTGCTGCGTGGTGCAAAGCCTTCTTCTTGCCAACATTGTGAACAGAGCCAGGGGCCCACCCTGTTCAATACAACTAATTAATGCCACGTCTGTCTGTTTGATTGGATTGGTTTACACATACCACCATTAGATCTAGATAGATAGAAATCACGCACCGGATGTGATTTTTATGTATTTATTCAAGAAACTGCGGAGTTGGCAGCTTGGAATTGATTTTTAACGCCGAGCTCGGAAGAGATTGACGTGGAATTGATTTTCATTTTTTTTAAACATACCAAACTGATTTTGAAAATAGATAGAAGGTAGAAAAGCTAGACTTCTAGGTTTAGTTAGTGAATATATTAAAAGGAACTGTTGTGTTCAATTGAATGATGATGGAGATGATGATATTTATGATGGCAGATAATTTAGTGTAGATATATTTTATGGTCGCTAAAAAAATTTACCTCGTCAACACTGATGATTATGATGATAATTGATAATGATTTTGTCATCATCATCATCATCATCATCATCATCATCATCATCATCATCATCATCATCATCATCATCACCACCACCACCATCATCTTCACCTCCACCAACATCATCATCATCGTCATCGTCTTCCCTACCTGGGTGGCGTCGGTAGTCTAGTGATTAGACGTCGAGCCTCAGCACGGTCCAACGTTGTGTCCTTGGGAAAGTCACTTTACTTACATTTCCCATTTGGCTCGGACGTTTCGGAGCTGGACGTTAAAAATATTAAAATCAGAGGTACCGCCTCTGTAATATCCTAATAGTGTTGACAGGGGCGTTAAATCTGTACCGGGAGCTCTCGTGGCCTAGAAGTTAATTAAGGTGTTTGCCTTTCATTGAATAGGTCCCGGGTTTGAGCCCGGATAGCAACGGGAATTGTTCTTCTCTAAATTGTCTCCTTTCACCTCTTTTCCTGTTCTCCAGCAATGTTCTGTCGTCTGCTTTCGTCTCCACTTTCTGCCTCCATCCACTCACGTCCTTGCTTTAGGGAGTAGGCTTCGGCCGCCACCCGCGCAAAATTCAAAATTTCCCACCTACTGAAAATGTTTTGTGTGTCCCGCGCCCTCATAATATGACCTTATGCAGTTACGAGCGCCGTAAAACACTTACCCCCCCCAAAAAAAAAGAAAAGAAAAGATTAAAAAATTGATACCATTTCACCTTTTTTTCCTCCCCGACAGGACAATCGCAGCATCACGGCAATGACCCTGGGCCGTATCTCCTCCTACTACTACCTGAAACATCACAACCTCCACCACCATCATCT